AGGAAAGAGGTAATATAAGCATCAAAAAAGTGATATTTCTCCTCTTAAAAAAACTATCAAAAATACATAATTTTAAATTATAAGTCTGAAGGAAATTACTATATATATACACATATCATATATATATCATGTCAGATGATGAGAAATTGGAATACAAATTTTAAAACCTCTAGGTTTTTCTGATGATAGAAATGTTCTGTATCTCAGCTCTTCGATACAGTAGCTAATGGCCACAAGTGACTACTGAGCACTTAAAATGTGCCTAGTGGGAATAAGGAACTGAATTTTAAATTGCATCTAATTAAAATTCATTTAAATTTAACCGCATGTGCAGCTCTAAGGAACTGGAGGGAAATATCTATACCTTAAATTCTGATTCAAATAATAAAAATCCTGTAGATGGGCATATACATAGATGCTTCTGAGATGTATTTTATTTTTTTAAATTCTTGTGATTTATGTAAAGGAAAGGACTTTACAACATAAAAATGATGCTGTGTTTGTGGGAATCAAGTTTTTTACATTCACCTTCTAGAGAGGACTAGATTATTAGTTCACAAGTTGGCTCCATGTTGTAATTTATTAGGGAACTTCTAAAAATATGGTTGTCTGGGTCTCACCACCAAAGTTCTGGTTTAATTGGTCTAAACTGAGTTCTGAGCATAAAGATTTTTAAAAGCTCCCCAGGTGATTCTAACATGCAGCCAATGTATCACTAAACTAGAAAGAAAAACTCTTTTATTAAGCATAGATGCAGTATGCAACCAAGGACATTTCTTTGCTGGTCACCAAAGAGGGCCTTTCAACAACCCAGATTCAAGTCAAAACCCCTAAGGGCTAATATGAGTTACAGGTTCTGAACATTCAGGAATGATTCGAGTGTACAATGATAAGTTTTTGCTATTACTGACTGTTGTTCAATTATGTAAAAGAGATTAGAAAGGAAGGAAATAAACTATGAGTGTCAATTTTTACTTGCCGCCTTTGTGTATATTATTTCATTTCATCCTCAAAATATCTTGGGAGGTAGATACTATTAAATTATTTACAGATGTGGAAAGTAAACTTAAAGACGTTCTCTAGGATTTGGACACACGTTTCTGAGACAGTAAAGTAAACATTCTTTATACTACAGTAGAATTCTCTCTGAGAAAGTTTGTTTCAGTAAATTCTCACACTGGAATCAAAGAAAAAAAAGAAAAAAAGAAAAACCAAGGTTCAATGGTGGAGCACAGGATAAGTCAAAAAACGCTTAAACAGGTGCTTAAACCAGTTCCTGTTCCTGCATTTCCTCAGCACCTGATAGCAAACTCCGGGAAAAATATGTTCATCTGTGGTTCAGATCTACAGTGGTCTCAACATCAGACCATTCAGGAGTTGCTGCCTTTTTATTCCAAGAAGTTAAACAATTGGTCTCCTACTGCCTCACAGCTATTAGCTATACTTGTACATTCTTTGGACAGGATAGAACAGGATGCTTATTCATAGCGCCTTTGACACTAAAACAGAAATAAGGCAGGAGTCTTAAAGATGTTTTCATTTTGCCCCCTAGACTCACAGGATTGCTAGAATTGTTCCTCCTGGAGCAGTTTACAGATCACAGTTTTGATGTGACATATTTACAGCACGTATGTAACTTTAACTTAGACCACTGAATGTCATATTAACTTACTTGCTAAAAACTTTTAAAACCCAGTTCCTGAGTTGTTCAACTCATCTTAATTTTCAAATTAAGAGAAGCTCTCAGAGAAAAAAATGGGAAGAGCAGAGCAACAGACCCTTACCCTTCCCATCAGCATTAATCCTTCTGAGAGCCAATATCCTCTCTCCTTGTTCAGGCCCTTACCTTGTAAAGGGACATTAACTCAAATGAGACACACTTGGTTACATCAGAGACCTGACAGGAGAAAACCTTCCATTCACCATTCTAATTAATGGTACAGACTTCTTCAAAGCATTTTCCAAAATAAGAATATGTTGACAGGAGAAACTTCTACCTCCTACATGCACTGGCAGGAGTATGGTCGTGTTTCCTTCCCATTTCAATGGCTTTTAATTACAATTTAATTAGACCACAAACAATGTTTCATAGTTTATTTAAAAATTACAAACTCTGTCAAAGAAGCAGCAGCAGTGGCAGCAGCGTACCCCAGTAGTCCCTGTCTCTAAGTATATTTGGTCTGGGCAATAAGATGAGCTGGAAAAATAATACATCCTCGATTGATATAAGCCACACTGATGCTTTTCCAATCCTTAACCTATTAAAAGTAGAATAAGGCAAGGATTTAATCTGTTTTTCTTAATAAAAAAATACATAATTCCATACCTACCATCTACCAAAAGCAACTGATTAGCCAATTTTTACATCCACTTCCTCCATTTGAGGCATGCCTCCAGAAAAACGCAATGTAAGTTTTATAACTTCTGAGTAGTTGCAGATACTAACCACTATATATAAAATAGATAAACAACAAGTTTATATGTACAGCACAAGGAACTATATTCAATATCTTGTAGTAACTTTTGGTTAAAAGATTATTTATGTTCCTATATGACTGAAGTATTGTGCTGTACACCAGAAATTGACACACTGTAAACTGACCATATTTCAATTAAAAAATAAATTTAAAAAAACCAACAACTTTTGACCATTATCATAGTACCAAAATCTGTCCTTTAAATCAACACTGGTTCTAATGGTTTGTGTATGTCTTACTTGTGACATGAAAAGCTATAAATATTTTTAGATGCTGGTAGTCACCCTCTGAAAAATAAGTAGACTTTATATGCAAGGAAAAGTTTTGGTGGGACAAATGTAAATTCAAAGACATATTGGTTAAAAAAAAAAAAGAAAAAGCCATAATATTCTAATTGTAGAAGTGAAAGACACTGCAAATTAGTTCCTCTTCTTAATAACCCCTAGATATTTTTTCTATTTTTAATTCCATCTTCCATTCTACCATCTCTCCCACACATACTCCCACAAAGTCTCTAGAACATCAAAGTTAGAACACAATGTTATTAAGAAAAAAGTATAATAAATTTAAGATTGGATGATAAAGCAATTCGCCTCTGTATGACCTTCTGAATCAATATGTGCATGAATTTAATAAATAATGCTCCTAATTATATTAACACAAGAAATACTTTGTACCATAGCCACAACCAATGCGAATGAAGCAAGTTTTCACTTTGATCCTGCCAACTCAGTCATCAAGAATTTGGGAAAATACCAACATTTGTTTCATAATACAGCGACTTCTTTTTTTTCCCCATCCTTTTGCAAACCCGGTAGACATAAATTTTAAAATCTTTCTAACTAGTTACTTGCTCCCTTCAACCCACTGATCAGGTGTCCTACATTTTGTTTAGGTCCCCGCCTTGAAAACAAACCCGATTGCCCCATTTTCTGAGAAGTAAGCTCAGCTTTAAGCAGCTCCCTATGAAGTCACCGCGTTTGTTGTTTCAAAGATGCAATTAAGCGAAAATGACACAAGGCTGTCGAAGAGACTAGTTGAAGTGTATGGTGTCGATCATATATGTGTAAGGCCAATGAAACTTGTATTGCTGTAAATCTATTTTAGTGGTAATATTTCTCCCCATCCCCCCTTCTCCAATACATTCACAACAGAGGGAATTTAAACTTCGTAAAAACTTCTTGACTTTACCAAACTTTCGGTACTACAGTCGCACGTAAGGGCAAGGGTGTGTGTGTGTGTGTGTGTGTGTCTTGGAAGGGTGGCAGTTAACTCGAGCACGCAGAGAAAAGCAATAAAAGAGTTTGCATCAGGCAGTGTGTGTGTGTGTGTGTGTGTCTTGGAAGGGTGGCAGTTAACTCGAGCACGCAGAGAAAAGCAATAAAAGAGTTTGCATCAGGCAGTGTCTCTCCCTCTGCCCCCTCTTTCCCACCACCCCACCCCCTCTTCCCCGAGCCCTTACATATACAAATTCTTCTGGGCGGCCTCTAACCACACCATGTCCACAGTCATTTACAGAAATTAGAAACAGACTCCGGGAGCCTTTCCTTTAGCACGCAAAGAGCAGAGCTGTAGCAGCATGATGGGGCAATGTCACTCCCTATTACCGCACAACCTTTTACTCCCCCTCTGGAGTTTTAATTCCCAAGAATCCAGCTTTCCTCCGCGGAGAACTTGGATCTACCTAATTCACAACAAAAGTTCATCTCATTCCTCCCCACCCTAGTCATCCCACCCCTACTCTAATTCACCAAAACACTAAAACCAAAGACAAGTTCCTTCCACCAGGGCAACAGGAGTTGATTTTAGGAACTGGAGCAAAAGCAGAGATGGGGAAGGGAGCGAGTGCGGTGTACTTTGGTTTGCACTTTCTGCACAAGCACTCCAGAGCCCAGGACAGCTCTAGTCCTTACCTGATCGCCCGGAGACCCGGTCCTGCTACAGAAGTGCGGGGCGAGGGCTGCGGGGACGCGGCGTCGGGGCGGGCCGCCGGCAGCAGCCGCGGGCGCCGAGAGCCACCACCTCTTCTTCCCCAAACGGCTGCGGGAGTGGGCCGAAGAATCTGGAGAAGGAGCCTGGGGAGGGGGAGAAGAGGAGCAGCATCTCCTCCTCCTCCACGCCTCGGAAACGCCCCTCCAGCGGCGACCCCGGCCGACCGCCTAACCCCCGAGCGCTAGCGCACCCTCTCCGCTCTCTGCTGCTCTGCGCGCCTCCACGGGCTTCGCCAAAACCTTCTGGCGCGGGGCGGCTCAACTCCTGCAGCCGGCTCCGAGGGCTGCCGAGGCGGACCGCGGAGCCAGGGAGTGCTGCTCGCCCGCACGACGGTCTCTAGGGGCCGGAATCATGGTGTGTCACCCTTGCCGCGCCGCGGCTGCGAGAGCTACTCGTACCACTCCGGCTCCACCTAGGGCGGCCGCGCCGGCCCCGCCCCCGGTCCCGTCAATCAATCCTGTCCGGACTCCAGGAGGACTGCGAATCTCCGACCCCTCTGGCCCCTTCGCCTCATTGGCCCGACGGCCCTCTAGCCCCGCCCCCTCCCTAGGGACGTGGTCGCCGGGGAGACCGGCGCTCGGGTTCCCATGACAACCAGTGCCTTGGGCCTGGCTTTTCGCGTTCTTCTAGTTTGCCAGACGCTCAAGTTGATGGCCCGGCAGCAAAGTTCCTAGTCCCTGTGGCGTGGACTCGTAATTTTAGGCCAAGTTGAAAATGCAGCCGACCGCCCCCACACTTCCAACTTCGGAGACAGAACGTTCTGGCCCTGGGGAGTGTGAGGAAGAGTGAAAAATGCCTAACTGCTTGCTCTTCCCTTGTCAGTCTAAATAGCCCCTCCCCCCTCCGCCCTCCCTTGCCTCCAGCCTTGTTTCCATATTCTCACCGGGCGGATTTCGGCTTTGGAAGGGTGAGGAGAAGAAGAATGAGAAAGAGCAGGGCAGAGCAACCTCCCCACAGCAATGTAGCAACTTGGAAATGGCGGGGTCAACGGAAACAGCTCGGTGAGTTTTCCCACAGCTGTAAAGTGATCTTCAAAGGTGTGGTGGCAGTACTTGGTCAACCCTAAGTGCCCTCAGGAAAACTCACATTGTCATATTTTTGAAGAAAAAAGTATGTAAATTCTTGTTATTTTCCTTCTGAGACTAAGGTAATCCTAAAGTTGAAAAATTTAAGTAAAAGGTTTAACATAGTCGAATAGAATAAAGAACATCCGTTTTTCTGTGTAGGCCTACACATTACAACTTGGCAAATGTATGTTCTAGCAGCTGTTACCCTCCTGCAAGCTGAAAGATTTGGGCTTCAACAATTCACAAGGAATCTTACTGAATTCATGAGCGAATGCTGTCTTGTCATTTGAGTTTCAGAAGTTTGGGTTTATTCTCAGGAGTATAAGGTAAACCTGGTATAAAGGAGACTTGGGGGTTAATTAGTCTTGGACCCTAGGTGAATCTAAACTTTATGGTTCCAAAATGGAGAGATCTGAGGCAAAGTTAAAGCTGCAATCCTGGGTTCCCTAGCCCCTGAGGCTGCTGTACACGCATGATGAATGAGGGAATTAATAGTAATGATTTACCTTTGGCAGCCCTTGAGTTTTCATTATCTCATTTACTAAATGAATAACTGCTCAGTGAAATATGCCTTGCAAATGTGCAGTGAATGTGATTACTCACAATGCTAAACACAACACAAAATGCACAGCCGAATTTAAGATTAAGGGCCCTGCCCTCAAGGAGATAACCACAGAGCCTAAGAAGGAAAACTAGCATTCCTGAAACAATTTAAGATTATAGCTAGACTGTGCAGCCAAACCTTAAGTACAGTAGTCAATGAGAGAAAGTCTGTGGTATGTAGAATGGGCTGGATTAGTCAGATTAAGGAGGAGAGGAATTTAAATTGTGCTTTGAAGGGTAAAGGAGTAGGATGAATGAAGCAAAAATGAGGAAAGACGGTTGAAGGAAACATAAAACCGAACTGCAGCAGCAGGAGTAGAGTGGTGAAAGTACCAGCCAGCTGAACTAGAGACAAAAGTGAAGAACTGGAGCCCTTTCCCCATTTTCTGAAATAGGAGTTTTTAAATATTCTGGTTTAAGCCTCAGGGTGGTAAGATAGGGAGAGGTAGTTTTGTGACAATAAAAACCTTCCTGGAGTATCTGCCTCCGTTTGCCACTGAAGGAAAGGTCATGTATTTATTAGAAAGAAAAGCAATATCCATAATACTTGGCGTAACTTGTGAATTCATGTCAAAGAGAAGATATAAAGAGTATGGTGTTGGAAATTTTCGCAGAAGTCGACAAATCACAGTGTTGTGAGTTTTTTTCTTGCTTTCTTTATTTATTTTTTTTTTGTTTTAAGACCATTTCAGGTGGTTGCCCTCAAGGCTTTTTCACCAGTAATCCTTCTGTTTTGTATGAGCTGAAAGGCTGGTTTTAAAATAAATGGCTGTGATACCAAAACCTGATAAAGAGTACACAGAAGAAAAATCTACAGGTAATCTCATTTTGGATATAATATAAAATTAAAACACAACATTACCAAATAGAATCTAGAACTACATTTTGAGTGATATGCCAAAGTTAAGAGGAATTATGCCAGCTATATAAGAATGACTCAACAATAAAAAATGTATTCATATAGTTGACTATATTAATAAGTCAAAGAAGAAAAGCTGTATGAGTGTCTCCATACTGAAAAGGAGTTTGTAAATTCCAGTATCATTCCTTAATACAAATTTTTAAAGAATATATTTTATACCAAAGCCAGAAACTTTATGTATAATGAAACAGTATAATTATTCCCACTGAAGTCAGGAACAAAGCCAAGAATGCCCACCATCACACCATATAAGTAAATGATAGCCAATTAAATTAGATGTGGAAAAGAAATAAATACTGAAAATATCAGGATTGTCATTTGTTTGCAAATTATACAAAAACTCCAAGGATCAACTGAAAAACTTTTAGAAGCAATAAATGATGACTTAGGGTACCAGTAATAAAATCAAGAGCTTTCCCATGTATAAACCATAACCAGTTAGAAAATAAAATATAAACAAGTCCTATTTACAATAATCACAAAAATTAATTAGGTAAAAATGCATACTAAGAGAAATTAATAAAACTTCAAAAATCTTAAACTTAAGAGACAAAAATGTTTGAACAAAGAAGCGATATACTTTTAGGTTAAATACGAAAATTGAAACACTATAAAATTATAATATTTTTAAAAAGTAATCTATATATCTGGTACAATTCTAACAAATGTCTAACAGAATACTTTTGGGAATTTAAAAAAATAATTTAAAATTTCATTTGGAAGATCAACCATTCAGAAATAACCAGAAAGATTCCAAAATGAGAATAAATGAGGAATTACACTAAACGATATTAAAATAAATTATAAATCACAATGATTAACAGCAGATTTGATATCAGAGTAGGTATGATCTATGATCAAGTAGGTATAGTTACATGGTAAAAGACGAATGCACATCATTAAATATATGGTGTTAAGTATAGAAGTTCCTTAAAAAACTAAAAACGTAATTACCATATGACCTAGCAATTCCACTCCTGAGTATATATTCAGAAAAAACAAAAACACTGATCAAAAAGGTACACACTCCCCAATGTTCTTCATAGCAGCACTATTTACAATAGTCAAGACAGAAGCAACCCAAGTGCCATCAACAGATGGTTGGGTTAAGAAGATGTGATCTATAGACATTTATACAGTGGAATATTAGTCAGCCATAAGAAAGAATGAAATACTGCCATCTGCAACAACATGGCTGGACCGAGAGAATATTATGCTTAGTGAAATAAGCCAGAGAAAGACATATACTGTATGATACCGCTTATATTTGGAATCTAAAAAGTAGTACAAATGAATGTATATGCAAAATAGAAACAGACTCACAGATACAGAAAACAAACTTATGGTTACCAAAGGAGAGAGGGAAAGGGCAGAGGGACAAATTAGGGGTATAGGATTAACAGATACAAACTATAATATATAAAATAGATAAGCAACAAAGATATACTGTATAGCACAGGGGATTATACCCATTATCTTGTAATAACCTATAATGGAATATAATCTGCAAAAATACCAAATCACTGTGCTGTGTATCTGAAACTAACACTATTGTAAATTAACTACACTTCAATTTTTAAAAATAATAAATAAATAATTTAAAAATTTCTGCTAATGCTAGTATATCACTTAAAATCATGAAATTCTCATCAGCAGGCATCTTACTTGCTCTGAATTATTACTGTGACTTAGTAATTAAAACAAGGCATTGAAAAAAAGAAATAAAAAATAAATGGTGTTGAGAAACCTAGCCATTTCTTGTTTACCTTTTCAGACACACGCATATACGCATACAAACAGTTTTTCAAAGAAAAATTAGCTCATATACTGATCTAATACCTTGATTTTTTTTCACTTTATAATATCTGTTTGGTCTCTATTATCAGATCCTGTAAATGAGCCTTCTTTTCTATGGCTGCATAATATTCTGTTGCTTTGGTGTATTGTAATTTATTCAACTCCTCTCTTTTTAATGGACACATAGGTTATTCCCACACTTTGGCTATTTTTCACTAGTTGAAATAGTTTTCTTTGTGCTTGGTCCTGTTTTACATGTGGAGTAGAACTGCAGGTTTAGCTTTTATAAGTATAAGTGCTTGATTAAAGTGTAGGCACATTTTACTTTTTGGTAGACAAAGCTGAGAAGTGGTACAAGTTACAGTCATCCCAGCACGTAGGAAAGTTTGATAGTGCTCTGTTTCTCCACACCCTCCCAGCACAGCATTATCAGACTTTTTTGACCTTTGCCAATCTAATAGGTACAAAATGCTATCACATTACAGGTTTAATTTCCATTCTCTTATGAGCGTCTTTTTGTATGCCTATAAACCATTTTATTTTCTGTTACCAAAAGTATTCTCTTATGTTTCCTTCTAGAACTTTTATGGCTTTCACATTTTATTCTCTAATCCATGTGGAATTTATTCTAGTGATAGCCAGAGTTACCCAGTTGTCATAAAACCTGTAAAGAATTTGTAACTTTTACTACATAAAATATAAAGCTTCTGAAGAGTAATAAAAATAACAATGAGTAAGAAATTAGAAAAGCAATGAATAATTGAAAATAAAACAACTGTATAAAGAAAAATTAAAACAAAAATGAGATGTTTATAACTATCAAATTGGAAAGATATTTTTAAAGACATATCTGGTATTGGTGAAAATATGTGAACTAGATCTCATCATTGTTGGTAGGATTATAGGTTCGCTTATTCCATCTGGGAGTGCAGTTGCAAGTGTCCTTCATAAATATATAATGTTTATGTTCTTTAATTTACTCCATTTTGGAAATTTATCCTATAGAAATATTTGCACACATAACCAGAGATATGATCAAGAATATTCTTTGCTATTAGTAGTCATAAATTTAAAAACAAAATAAATGTCCCTCATGGTGGAATGATTAAATTAACTCTGGTCACCCACATATATTACCTAGTGACAAAATCAAGTTACCATACAGCATGATCTAATTTCTTTTCAAAAGTACATGTATCTATATATATAATATTTATACTGTTAACAATCGTTTCACTGAGGATTAGAAATACTGCATTTCTGAAATGTTTTTATTTAAAATCTTTACAACAAGCACATTACTTTTGTGCAAAAGGTCAAAGATGTTAAAAAAGACAAACTTCCAGCTATAAAATAAATAAGTAATGGGGATGTAGTGTACGACATAGAGTCTATTATAGTAATACTCTATTGTATGTATGACAGTTGCTGAGAGACAACTGTTGGACAATGCTAATTCAGAAACTGGCATACCTGGTTTTTCTCTTAAAGAGTAAATAAAAAATTATTTCTCTTCTGCCAGCTTCTGTTAAAAAGAAAGATCAACATAGATTATCACTAACAATAAAGAAATTAGATAGTAGGCCATAACACAAATTTAATTGGGCTCCCA